ATTCATCATTGTTCTGGTTTAGCCACATAATAATAAATTTAAAAATAATAGGGGGGAAAAGAATAAGAAGGAAGAAGTTAAACTGTCCCTATTCTCATATGACATGATTTACACAGAAAATTGTAAAAGATCAATAATAATAATTAAAAAGAAAAAACCCTCGACATAATAAGTGAATTTAACAAAGTTAATACAGAATCAATCGTATGTCCTGGGACATATCTCAGGAGTACAAAGTTGGTTTAAATTTTGAAAATAAATGAAATTTACCTAATGTTTACATGATAATCTATGTAGAAAATCCTACGGAATTTACAAAAATTAACTAGAATTAATAAGTAAGTTTAGGAAGGTTGCATAATACAAAATTAATATACAAAATAAATGGTATTTTTATATGCTAGTAATAAACAAGTGGTAACTGAAAATGAAAAAAAACCCAATAATACTATTTGCATGTTTCTTCTAGCTATCAAGTTGCCAAAGACAAAATCTGAGATATTAACCTTGATTTCTCTTTCCCTTATGAACATACTCTACCTTAATCAAACCAATAAATTCTGTTGACTGTCTCCTAAATATCGCCAGTGCTTACGTACTTTTCTTCATCTCCCAAAGACAATCATTATCTTTCCCACTGAAACCTGGCCCTAACACTGAAACCGGACTCTAATAGTTTTTTTTCTTTCTTTCTAGTTTTAAGCGTCATTTCAGGAGGTAACAACAGGTCTCTTCACAGCTCTTGGGAGATCACCAGTCTAAGCCGGTTTAGACTGGCCCCAGAGGTTTCAGCAGGTGTAGTTAGCAGCTAAATGACCCTAAACTGACCTCAAAAGCACAGCAGAACCAAAATTCATGAAACCCAAGTAGCAGAGATGCTGCTTTTACCCTTTAAGAAGTGAGGGGTCAGTCAATAAGGAAGATCTAGCGCAGGGACCAAACTTGGAAACACATAAAACTGATAAATCAAACTTAGCCAGATGCAATTTCTTTGTTCTCTATTGCCTTTTCCACATCCCTAACCTTAGATTGCTTAGTTCCAAGCCTATCCAATCAGACCTCTGAATTAAAATTAATAAATATGTATAACTTCCTCTTACCCTCATCTCTTAAAACTGATCCCAAGCCTTTGCTGGGGAAGATTAACTTGGGCTTCATCTATGGTTGTCTCCTCATGTGGCTGGCCTGACGAATAAAATCTCCAAAATCTCTACTTCTCTGAGAAAACCTGCTGCCTCAGAGGCTTCTCTGTAAGTAGCCAGCAAGGAAATCACCATCTTTGTTCTGTAACACTAGTAAAGTCATTATTGCAACAATCTCCCAACTGTCTCTAGTTTGCAACTCTTATTTGCCACTGGCTACACTGTAACCAGTGATATGTCTAAAATACAAGTCTAATGTTACTGCGTAAATAAATCCTTAGGTGATTATAATCTCATAGATTAAAAGGCACTTCATGATCTGACATACTACTCAAACCTCATCTGTGACCCATCTTCTCCCCTTACTCTACATTCCATTGAAGTGTTTTTTTCAGTTCTTCAAATGCAATATTCCTCTCTCCTCAGTCTGGTACTTTGCACATGATGCTGGTTCTCTCTGAAAGACCTCTCTGCACCCCAGATCCCTTTGTCATTCCCTCCCCAAATAGAACAGGGTTAAAAGAGACCAAAAGTAAAAATCTAACATTTGGCAGGCTAGTTTATACAATAGGTAATAAGAGCCTGAATTAAGGTATTACAGTAGAAACAGATGAAATGAAAGAGAGAAATAAAAGAAAACATTTTAGCAGTCATGTTGTACTAAAACATGGGCTTGTGGAAATAAGAGTCATCTTCTATGGGACTTCTCCTATATTTCCTCAAACCTGATAAAATAATTCAAGAACTTCTGAGTTATGTAAAAGGAATCTTCAAAGGATAGACCAAGTTATTCCATATGAATTATTTTTTACTTTAGCAGTCTTAATTAACAGCCCATTGGGTTAGAGCAGTGATTTTTACAGTGTGGTTCCTTGGACTAGCAGCATCAGCATTGTAGGGGAGCTTGCTTGAAATGCACATTACTGAGCTCCACACCAGAATTTCTGAATCAAAAACTCTAGGCAGAGGGCCCAGAAATCTGTATTTAAGAAGCCTTCAGGTAGTCCTGATGTAAGTTCAAGTTTGAAAGCCACAGCTTAGGGGATATGGAAACAGTTGTAAATCAGAAAAATACCACAGCCACAACAGAAACTATCAGAAGGATGAAACTGCAAAAAAATAAGTCAATAGTAATCGATAACCTACTCTTTATCCCACAGAAGGGCACTGTAATTCACTTTCGAGGCAAAAACAGAAAAAGTAAATGCACATAAATAATATAATCTTAAGGCTCTGATAAATATCGTGCTGATAAAGGCCACTAAGGAACAGCTACCTTTAAGTGCTTAAAAACTAAAGAAATTATACATAATAAATTATAACCCCATTATTCATTAGTTTGCTTACTCAATAAACATTTACTCAATACTATTATTATACAAGACATTACAGTAAGAACTAAAGTGATAAATAGGTTTTTAATGAAAGCAAGAGAAAATTCAGAAAGTCAAAGCTTTAAGTAACTTTGTTTGTTGCACTGAACTCATCACCAAGAAAGAGTCTAAAGAAAAAAGTAGTCAGCTATGATTCTATTTTTGCTCTGTATAAGACCACAATAAAACCTTAGGTGTTTTTTATCAATTGTAAGTCCAATTAAATTAATTTCAATGTGTGTGTCTAAGGAAATGTTAGTTCTGATCCTCTAAAACTTCTATGTAATATACACATGCAACATATACATATGTATATATGTATATATAACATACACAAGCTTTAAGATGAAAAAACTCTCAACTAATGACTGATAAGGGTTACTTTTTTAAGACTATTACCAAATTCCTTTTGATCACTGCTGGTAATTTTATTGTATGGTTACTGCCTCTTCTCAATATGCACATTTTTGTAAGTCCTGTGTATCTACATCATCATTTCTTGGGAAGCAATAGGGAGAGTGTAGGATTTTGAGTCAGACAGATAAGAACTCAAATCCTTTTTCAGCTACTTAATTATCTGTCATTAAATAAGTTTTGTAATCTTTAAAAGAATTTTAATAATACTTTCACAAGATTATTGTGAGAATTTGGTTTACTAACAAGTCCAAAATAGATGTTTCATAAATGTTACTCTCTTACTTCTGTCTCTTTTTAAGAATGGTATCTTTTTCTGTCCATTATTTATTCTCAAAGTCTTGATATATTTCATCGTGACACCAGAAACAGGACACTACTTTTGTGCTGTAAAGGTCCTTCCATGGACAGATTCTTCTGAATATGTAAATACTGAAATTGTAGTGCTGTGGAAAAACTTGCATGGGGAGTTAGTTTCATTAATGCCAGCCAGTAGCTTGGGCTTTATCTCTTTGGACTGGGATAATTTCTCATGAAAAATAAGGGTGTTAGACAAGATAATCTCTAAGACTTTGGATCTTTGAGTCTTTACATGTGATCTCAATATTGGTCCCTCTAGAATACTTTCTCAGGAATGACAGTTTTTCATACTTATAGCAGTGAATATGGTGGTAAGTAGCTTGTCTCTTTCTCATTTGTTGTCTTGTCACTTCTCCAATCAATCTAAAGATAGGCTTATAGTTAGAGTGTTAACAAGACAATCTAAGAATTATCTATTTTTTAACCTCAGTGTTGCCCATAGTGAAGTCTAGCAGACACCTTTCAGGTATTTGCCCAGCTTACAATTTATCTTTCTGGAAAAGGTTGCCTTACTGACATTTCTATTCACTTCCATTTAAATGTGTGTTTATTTATCAAGAAATAATACTATTCCTCTAGGCCCTTGGAGAAGCTCAAGTCATCTGGTAAAGGCATCAAAGTACAAGGAAAGTTTGTTTATATTTTAGTTCAGTACTACAAAATTTATTTCTACTGAGACTAGCTGGCCCTTATTTTGTTTTACTCACACGATCCTCATAGTTTTTAATAAAAAGTCAATAAATGACCCCAAGAAAAAGTAATATTTAAAATTTCATATTTACTTGCTACTAACCATTCATTCACAGACCTAGGATCCTGATCATGAAGAAGAGACAGCAAGCAAGAGATAGAAAAAAACTCTATTTTTCTCATAAGATGTATTTTTATTTTCTACAGCCATTCTGTCAACATGGCTTCACAAACTGATTTCTAAAGCACTGATCCAGAGAATCATTTCTTCAGCCTCTCAATTTTTCTAAACTATACAAAATGTTTCCTTCAAAATTGCCACTCTCCTGTACTAATCAAAAGGATAGCATAATCTTTTGCAAAAAACCTCAATGTATAACCATATAAATTTACAAAGGTTTCAACATTCTGTTATTTATTCATCACATCCTATCTTCTATTTCTATGATGTGATCTTTCCAATAAAAAGTATCATGATTGCAATTACTGAGGAATTAGTAACAATCTAAAAACCTTAATAATGCCCCAAGAATTGCAAAGCTCTGAAATTTAATCTCTATCTCATTTGGGAGGGTGTCCACCGAATGTTCCTACTTGGAAAATTTACACTTAACAAGTTAAGAATTTTGGTCAGAAACAGCTCTCCATGAATGCCACACAAAAAAAACTAATTTCATTTTAATGCAGGCTAATTTATGTAAGATCAACATACATTAATGTTTTAAAATATAAAATATTTTAAAGTAAGTTAATATTTTAATTTTTATGTCCAATTTTCTTTCTCTAAGTCAAGAAACATGAGTTAGATTTACTGACTGACTTATAATTATGAAAACCTTAAGGAAATATTACAGATTAAAACATCAAGAAAACGAGGAACAAAAAAAAAGAATTACCTCTAATCATTCAAATTAAAAACTTTTAAAAAACTTGCTAAATCAGTGAACATTATAAATCAGAAAGGACTTTATATTATGAACAGAGAGAAAAACTAAAATGAAAATGAACAGCTTAAACTTACTGGGTTATCTGTGGAATCATCAACCAACTGTAAACCAAAATAGTCACGCTCAGTCAAATCAAGATGCTTGAAGACTATATCCAACAGAACTTGCCCCTGATCGTGTTTCTAGAAGAAAAATAAAAGGAAATCAACACTGATAGGCTATGTACACTTTCAGATTTTTAACCTCTTGGATTTTTTTCCTCTTTTGTGAAATTGGCAACTGTTTCCATACCAATGACTTGGTTGAAAATGAAGAGTTCACAAGCTACACAGTACTTAAAAAAGTCTAACTTCAGGCAAACTGATTCAAAGAGTACATAATAAATATGAAGATATAAGGAAAACCTTTGACTTAAAAAATACTTTCTGGTAATTTAATAACCTTTCAGGTTATTATCATGGTATTTTTGTAATTTTATATTGTTTCCACATTAATTCGTGTGTGTATGTGTATGTGTATCTCCTTATCATGTGTCTTGTTTATTCTTACATTTTAATTATGACTGGAAAGTGACATATTTGACTAAATAAAATTTAAAATTTGTGTGTCTAAAATAAAGCCACAAAAAGGTAAACAAAAACTGTGAAAATTATTTGTAGCAAACTGATGAAGGATTAATATTTTAATTATAAAAGTATTCAGAGAACTTTAGAAAAATATCTCATTTTAACCACATACCAATTTATCATGTAGGCATTATTTATTTTTAGCAAATATTAGTTTTAGTAAGAGTAACTATAACTTCCCTAAGTTCCACAGCTACTAAGTTGTGGTGAAAGGGCATGACAAGATAATTCCCTGAAAAAAATATGTAACTAAAAAATAAAGACATGGAGAAATGATAAACATGTTCAGTAATAAAAGAAATCAAAGTAGAAAACCATAGTGACGATCCAAAAAAAATTCAAATGAGTAAGATAAAAAATACTTATTGTTGCTAATACTGTACAGGTATAATCTATTGGGAAAGCAATTCAGAAATATTAAGCAAGAACAATAACAATATTGACTACTTCTAGTATCCTAACCTGAGTAAAAAATAAAATCCAATGTTGAGGGAAATAGCTATACATGCCAACATGTTCACTGAAGTATTGTTTCTATAAAACAAATATTAGAAAACACATGTGAGTAAATAGTGCTATGTTTTACCACGAATTTTTACTCTCATTAGTTGTAGCAGTTTGGTAGCTTCCAGCTACAAGTTAGAATTAAAACTGAGAGCTGAAACAATATGAACATAGATTTTTTCATATAATGGAAAGCACACAGATACAGTAGACTCCAGAGCTGGCTAATTCAGCAGATGAGAGATATCATCAAGCACCAGGGTTCTTTCCATCTCTCTTATCTGCATTCCTGGTGTTGGCAGACTGCAAGCAAGATGGTCATAGCAATTTGAAAATTCATACCCATATATGACAATGTTTAAAAGAACAACCTTCCCTGTATGGTTAACTTACAAAGAGCTTCCCTTCATGTCTTATTAGCCAGACTGAGTCAAATGGCTATTTGCAAAACTCATCAATGGCAGGAAAGTAGTATATTCTTCAAGCAGTGCCCCACAATGGTGGTTCCCATTCGAATAACCTGTGAATATTTTTTATATTGATGCAATTCACTGACCCACCCCTCTCCCATTCTCATTAAATTGGCCCAGGATGGAGATCAAGCATTAATCTTTATAAAAAGCTACTAAGGTAAGTCTAATGTACTCTTCTAGAGACAGGATAGAGTAGACCCATTTCTCCCTATACCTCTAGCTAAGTGAAACTTAAAAAAAAAAATTAAAAACACAACTCTGAAACGTGAAAAGAAAGTGGCAGCTTGGCTAGGGAATTCCTTGAGTTTTCTTTTATTGACGTAAAATTCACATAATGTAATATTAACCATTTTATTTTATTTATTTATTTATTTTTAGCTGAGCCATCCCGCCACCTGTTGGCAGCTCAGTGGCAGCTCAGCTCGGGACGGGACTCAAACCGCTGTTGCTCAGAGCTCGCACTCTTGAGCAGGCTCTTAACCAACTGAGCCACTCGGTCAGCCCAAATATTAACCATTTTAAAGTGTGCAATTCAGTGGCATTTAGTACGTTCATACCACTGTGCAACCATGTCTATTTAGTTCTAAAACAATTTCATCACACCTAAAGAATACCTATTAAAAAGTATTCCTGCCCCCCCACCCCAGGCCCTGGCAACCACTAATCTCCTTCCTGTCTCTATGAATTTACCTATTCTGGCTATTTCATATAAATGGAGTCGAATAATGTGTGATCTTTGTGTCTAGTTTCTTTCACTTAATGTAATATTTCCAATGTTCATCCATGTTGTATCATATATCCACACTTAATTTCCTTTTCATGATTAAGCAATATTCCATTTATATGGCTATATCACTATTTATCAGTTGATGGACATTTGGATTGCTTCCACTTTTTAGATACTGTGAATTATGCTAACATGAACATTGGTGTAGAAGTATCTAAGTATCTGCTTTCAATTCTTTTGGGTATATATAATATATAGAAGTAAAACTGATGGATCATATGGAAATTCTGTTTAACTTTTTGAGGAACCACCAAACTCCTTTCTACAGCAGCTGTACCCATTTTACATTCCTGCCAGAAATACATGAGAGTTTCAATTTCTCCACATCCTTACCAACATTTATTTTCTATTCTTTTGATTAAAGCCATCCCAGTAGGAATGAAATAGCACTTCATTGTGGTTTTGATTAGCATTTCCATAATAACTAATGATATTGAGCATTTTTTTCATGAGCCTGTTGGCTATTTGTATATCTTTGAAGACATGTCTAATCAAGTCCTTTGCTCATTTAAAAAATTGGGTAGATAATCTCTTTGTTATTGAGTTCTAAGAGTTCTTTTTATATACTGGATGCTAGACCTTTATCAGATATATGATTTGCAAACATTTTCACTTTGTTGATCACATACTTGGGGATACACACTATCTTTTAATTTTTGTGAAGCCCAGTTTATTCATTTTTTTTCTTTTGATGCTTGTGTTTTTGGTGTCACATCTATGAATTCATTGAAAAATCCAAGGTTATGAAGACTTACCTATGTGTTTTCTAAAAGTTTTATAGTTTTAGCTCTTATACTTAGTTCTCTCAGCCTTTTTTGAGTTTCCTTGAAATAAAGTCCTAGATAGATACCTATAATGAACCACATGTGAAACTGACCAAAATTAAAAGAGCAAAGGTTTAGCAGACGTTCATCTCCCTTTGGGTCTCATTCTCGGACTTTCCTCACAGGATGGCCCCCAAACGCCAGTCTTCACTCCCATGTCAAACGAAGAAACCAAGACTGCCTCCTGCCCCCAAGCCGGAGAAGACGTCGACCTCTCTGGACGTGCCCAAGAGAGAAAAAGAACAGCAAGAAGCAATTGAACATATTGATGAAGTACAAAATGAAATAGACAGACTTAATGAACAAGCCAGTGAGGAGATTTTGAAAGTAGAACAGAAGTATAACAAACTCCGCCAGCCATTTTTTCAGAAGAGGTCAGAATTGATCGCCAAAATCCCAAATTTTTGGGTAACAACA